AAAGCTTTCCAAACATGACTCCTCCCTTTGAGTGCGGCCCGTTGCTTTGAGCATCAGGCACACCGAGTCATCAGACAAGACGAGATGGCACTGTAGAATAGAATGCAGGCAGATCTGCAGACTGTAGACGGCGGCCGTCGTCGACTGTCAAACGCCCAACGTTGTGAATGTGTGTATTATTAGAATCCGTTGTTGGCCTCACGACATTGCAGCCACACGTACATCCAAGAGATAGGTAGGTGCGCTCTCGCAACGTGGGCTGGCTGAAATGCCGCTGGGCGTTTGCTGAGACAAGAAAGGTTCTTTGAGCTTCCTCGTCAAGCTTCTGTCCCACATGGCTCCGGCTTCTTCAACTTGCTTTTTCTTCGGCCTGGAATTCTCATCGTCTTCTCTCTCGTTCGGCTGTCGCAAACGGACGAGCAATACCAGTCACACACTCATCCCCAGACCATTCATCATTCCCCATGGCTATGGGTGGTGTGGAGCCTATTCATTGACTGCATCCTGGGTTATGTTGGTCGCGGGCTCATCTCTCAGGCGCAAGTAGTGTACAGCCAACGGTTCCAGGCACTCGGTCACTGCCGGCCCAATGACATAGGGTCGACGTAACTTGAGAGCATCGGAGAGCATCCATCCACATCCACATGGGGGGAGCAACAGGAAAGGAAGACCTTGATGCGGAGAAAGGAGATGGCAGTGGCAGTGAGTGGCAGGGGTGCCAGAATGGCGAATCGGCGCGCAGCGTACACACCGGGTGTCGGTCATTGGATGGACGGTGTCGTCTCGCTGTGCTCACATAAATCATAGCACAACGCATCATAGCATGACACAACAGGTCGGCCGACTCAGTTGTCGCCTTCATAACTGGTCGCCTTTGGGACTTTGACAGATAACTGCCCCCAGCGAGGGACGGCCCGGCTATGTTCGGTCGCTCTTCATGGCAGAGACTAGACGGCGACGACCTGCGCGGCCGACAGACGTTGTGGACTTGCGGCCTTTCACACAGCAGCAGCTTGCAGCGCTCTAGCCTTGGCGCTTCTTACACAGCTCAGCCCCGAATGGCAGGAGGCTCAAAGAGGCAAGAAAAAGCAAAACGCCCCTGCATGCGGGGCGTGCCCTGGTGGTGTGTGTGTGACTTTGACGATATGCTGCACCGTTTACAAGGTGGGTGCTGCCACTGCCACTGCCACTAGACAATGTGAACAAGGCAAGGTGTTCTGCACCAACCGTGGCTGACAGCGAACCCTTGGCGCGCTACAACCGACGTCTATCGATGCGTCTTCCTTGGGGGCTCCCTGCAGATCAAGGGGATGAGATGATATTGCCCGTTGCCGTGAGGTGGAGGCTGAGGTCCAGAGCCAGTAGCCCCCAATCGCTACCCCAACATGCTGTCATCGGAACTGTTATGGACATTCAGGGCGAGCATACCGTAGAAGCCTATTTGCCAGTGGGTGTCTGTGTGCGTGTGTGGTGTGCTGGCCGTTTGACGTTTGATTTTGACGTTTGACGTCTGACCGTTTCCCTCCTTGCCGTCATCCGCCATGGGCCTCCTGTGCTTATCCACCTGGCTCCATCAACGCCTGCAGAACGGCATTGATTGCATCGTGATCTCTCCATCCCCGGAGCGGGAGCAACGCTGTGTAGCCAAACGACGCGTTGGCTGCTGCTGGGTCCCTGATCTTGCTTCCCCTTCTCCTCCCGGGCACCAGGTTCGAGGATCAAGCATCGGGCCATCGAGTTCGCATTGCTCGATCCACAGCACAGCACAGCACAGCACCGACTGAGTGTGTCTGCGCATATGCGATCGGGAAGCGGGTCGACAAAGAAAATGACAAGACAGGCCTCACCCCTGTCCAGAGCAGAAAGGAAGAGGCAGCCCCAGCGTCGCAGATGTAACCTTGGGGGGCATCCATGAGCCCCCGATCTCCTGGATCTTGATTTCAACCTCGATCTTGATCCAAACGCGAGGGGGGATGCAGAGTCATCCAGACCCCGTCTGGCCCATGCCCCCACCAACGGACCAGGAGTCTCGTGGCCAGGGACATGGTGGTGATCGCCTTCTTCTGGGGTCCCCATTGGGCCTGCCAGCCTCAGCAGCCCAAGCATCACCAACAACGTACATGGCAGCCGCTCGAGCCCGGAGCAGCTCGACCTGCACGGCTTCTAATTCGGACGACTCTTGCCCCGCCCTCGGCGTGTCCTCACCTCCCTGGTCGTTTAGAGCTGCGATGTGCGAACGACGTGCCGCGGATTACACCTACGGCAGCAGTGAAAATGACGACTTGCGGCAGACGAACGAGGCCCGCAGGAGTTCCCAAGGTCGCATCAAACGCTTGTAGCTTGCTGTCCTGGCGTAACCGGGGAACCTGGTCCAAAAGAGCCAGGTAACGTGCAGCACGGCCCACACCATCATCTCAGCCAGCTTAGCCAGTCCTCTGAGAATCCTCTATTCCTGCCCTATGCCCCAATCCGGAGACTATCGTCCAGTCTGGTTGAGGGAGGGCGAACATGGGAGGCCGGCTTCCATCATCCGTAGCCCGGTACTTGGTGCGATCCAACAGGCATCGGCAGCCACCCAATCCACTATCGAGATATATCGCCGATCTAAAGATTTGACCAGATCGCGACGACAACCGGGTTTCTGGAAATGCAAATGGAGATCAGCCAACTTGCACCATATCTCATTCGACCACATGTACCTTCTATTGGCCAAGGGGAGATGCGCCACCTTCTCAAACGGATGCTCAGAGTGGATGAGTGATCCGCAACCATGCCGCATCAAATCGACTGTCACGATAGTGTCGTTTCCGCATCCAGCACCGTTGTCGATCCCCTTGAATCCGTTGTTGGCTCAAGGTAGCACGAATGCCAAGCCCCGGTATTTTAAGCGCCGCTGCACTTGGAGCAGGTCGAAATGAGACGACCAGCTCCATATCACGACCGTCAACCGTGTTCCCAACAACCAGCAGCATTGGCAGGCGGCCTAGCGGGGGACAAAAAACACCGAACTCGCATCCAGAGCCCTGTGGTTGAACCAGGTTTGGTGTTTTTTGTCCCCCGCTGGGCGGCCATGGCCCCGGTCCCTCAGATTCACTACCTAGAGCTGCAGTCGCGTTTGCATGCCGACGATCTGACGCCGACTGCAACCCTCGCTCTCGTGTATTTTCCATCTTGAGCGAAACCAGCATAAGAAGAGCATATTCTCTTCCCGTTCTCCCCTTTCTCGGCAGCCACCTTCATCGCGAAGGCGTTTGATCCGTAGCCTGTTGGAGGGGGTGTACACACCTTTTACCCTTGTAATAAAGAGACCCTTGCTGCAGGAGATTTCGCAATGCCACACACTGACATACCTGTGTACCCACGTTGGTTCCCGCCTTAGGCACTCCTCGACGCGTTCCTTGGCAGCCGCGCTAGTCATCCGGTGTTAGATGAATCCGTCTTCGAGTACAGCATGCCCCAGGGTACCTGCGGTGACATCCCTCTTTCGCCTGTTGTACCGCCATGTATAGCGACCAGCCAGCAGGGGCCTTGAAGTCAAGTGCCAGTTCATCCCCCAGAAGCAGACCATGTAAGGTGGCACCCTTTGACTGCAACACGGCGTTCTCCCGAGAGCGAATCAGCGTCGGGGCATGACCGAGTCGGGCAGTCCTCGAGAATGCAGTCCGTCGGGGGAGTGTCTTCGGCAACGCTGCCATCGAGACGCCATCGAGACGCCCTGTAGCCCTAATCGTACGATGTTGCAAACCTGGGCGTCGTGGACGGTATCCTGCAACCAACCGCAGGCCTATCGCTCAATTTCATGCTTGGTCCGTTTGAAGAGGATGCTTCGTTCTGTGATATGTCCAACTGCAGTGTCTGTTCTCCAGAGGCTGCCCGTGGTGGACAAAAAAGCCCTCGGTAGCAGGGTTTCCCCTTGCTCTGGGGAAATCCGCCACAACTGATTCGTCGTCTCTTGCAGCATGCCAAATGTGACATCTCTCACTGAGTGAAGATCTCGGCTTGATAGGCGCCGCTGCCGACAGGCGCCATGGTAGGTACTCTGGATCATCTGGTGCATCCCGTCTTGCTCCGAATATCTTTAGCATGACAAGGCGATGCAACGCTATTTTATGAGAAGGTCATCTGGTCGAGAGTAGCGAGGCACTTATGAAGACCAATAAGTGTTTGGAAAGAGGATACATGGGCAATCAACTGATGAGGGTGCATCCGAGCGAACCCGGTCATGGGTGGTGAGGAAGAGCGTGACGCACTTGTGCCTGCTCCAACGCATGGGCCCAGGTGAAGATACGACTCATGATAGTGTGTGCTTGATAGTGAGAACCATATCGTAATCCGGTCGCGGTAATTGCGGGTGTGTCTGGTGAATTGAACCTCGGTACACACGCCCACGAGTCCTACCGAGGCCATTGCGAACGAGAACGCGGGAGGAAATATACAGATGACACGCATGAAAGTGCCAGGTCGACATGGTGTCACAAATCTGACCTTGCTCGGTGCGCACAGCATGAACACACGAAACTGCAGGTAATAACCTTGAGTGCAGAAAGAGGGCCTGCATCTTCGGATAGCCGCAGCGGAGTTTCATCTTTTGCGTGTCTGACCCCGGAAAGCTCCCCGACAGAGATCTTCAGCGGACCAAGACCCTCTTCAAAGCCAAGGTGACATGAGACAGAGAAAAGACAAGAACGACAGGTGTAGATTGAGTTGATATTTCGGGTTGGCTGGAAACGGAGCTCGACCACAACGAAGACTGAGGCTGGTTGAGGAATAGATCCAGAGACCTCACCTCTGACAACTATTGCGAAGGTGAACAGCTAGATCCCCTTATTCCAGTGGCCCGGAGGGCTTGGTCGCACTGGATTTGATCAACGCCGAACCAAGCAGCCAGGGGGTTCAAGATGTGTCCCAGAGAAGCTCAGTATCTCCCATACTTTGCTGCCGCATGATGCGACGATACTCCTGATGTAGGTTAGATGTGACAATATCAAAGTGTGATGACACTAAAACTTCCGCTTCTTCTTGGCCGGACCAGCTGCCGCCTTCTTCTCCAGCTCCCTCTTGAGTTCCTCTCGTCTGCGGTCAGCCCTCTCTTGTGAGGTTTCTCTTGGTTTCGGTGCCTCCTCTTTCGTTGATCGGGCCCGGCCTCTACTCTCATCGGCAGCCGATGATGGCTCCTTCGCATCCCCCTTCTTCTTCCCAATCACGCCCAACCTCTTTGGGGGGTTCTGGGTGGCCGGTCTGGCAATCTCAGTTACTTCCGGTTCTGTGGGCGGTGATGTCTCCTTGACAGGCTGCTTCGCCTTGGCTCCCCCGATACGCCCAAGGCCACTCTTCTTTGCAACAGGTTTGGGTGGAGGTGAGGGTGAAGGTGCCGGGGGTGGATCATCGTCTGGAAGCGAGGCTGTTGCACCGTCATCTTCTGCCTCCGATGCTGTCTCGGAGTCGTCGACATTTGGGCTCGGTGCTTTCTTCGCTGGCGAAGGTATTTTAGGACTGGGGGATCGGGGCGGAGTTGATTGCTTCTTTCGGCCGAGTGCTCCTAGCCGTCGAGTTGGCCTGGTCTCCTTCCGTGTCTCGGGAGGGACGGGGACATCTTTGGCCGAAGCGGGAGATTCGGGATCACCCTCGGTGGATGCGTCGTCAAGGACAGGCTTTCCCTTGCCCCTTGATGCCATGGACTTCCGTGCGGCCGTAAGATGTGGTGGTGTTGACTGAACTTGAAAATCGTCGTCGTCGTCATCACCAACCCCCGACACCTGGGGCGGAGGTGTCGTCTCTTTTGCAGGAATTGCCTTCTGCGATGGGCGTCCTACAGAAGAAGCGCCACTGAACTGATGCCACCAGTCATCTAACAGAGGTGATTCGGCAACCTCTATTGTGGGCTCAAACTGCAATCCTCCTCCACCAAGGACATCTTCTATCAACGACTCTGTGTTGCTTGGGCCATCGTCCGTGTATGCAAGGCCAGACTTCCAGCGGTGACGGTCAAATGGGGCAAGGCCTGGGATTTTGTCTGCGGCGGCGGCTCTGGAGATTCGCTTCTTTCCGGAGAGCCCGTTGAATACATGCTCTAGACCCGTGCCTACAGCCTCCAGCTTGTCCAGAAGTTTCGTAATGACCACGTCTTTATGGCCCAGCGTCCGAATTAACGACTCGACCTCGAGGTTTCTGGTGAGGTGGGCCTGGATCAGGGGAAGCACAAGATCTGCAGCGATGGCAGATGATGGCAACTTCTTCAGGTGCATAGGCCATTTGAGCGGCTGTAACCCAAGAAGTTCACAGGTAATCTTCAATGTGAGACCACCCTCGCCAGCGTCAGATTTGGAAGCTGGTTCAAGGCGGAGATGAGTTTCATCGTGGCCTGGCTGTGTCGAGTCGAGTGCAGTATTGAGGCTGTCTAGGAACTTGGCCATATTGTCGGGGGTGTCACTGGGGTCAATGGTAGTGTTCTCGCTCCAGCCTCTGATGCAAATGGACTTCCTGTCAAGGCTTTCGGTCCAGACGTTGGCCATGTCGGTGATGTGAACCGTGTACGCCGATGTGGCGATATCCAGTGAAACAAGGAGGGGAGGTAAATCGGAGGACGAGGGGAGCGGCAACGGCCGCCAAGACTTGGTTGGGGACATATCCGCGCCTCCGGGGTGGGAAGAAGCCCCAGACACCAGAAGAGTAGCTCGCGGAGAGTCGACAACTCGGGCAGCAACGTTGCCTTCCGGGGAGATGATGAAACACGGGGAAAGGAAAGGTGGGTGAGATGAATCCGGTTCGTGTCTGAGCAGTAGGTTGTATAGCGCCGAACAGTTCCTCTGGGAGGGAGGTGCAATGGGTGTGAGTTGTGTTGAGGTGAGGCCTAGGGAACGAGGCACAACAGAAGGTGGTTGATCACCTGAGGCTCGACGCTTAACTGGCCCAAACGGAATCGGAGAATATCCAAGTCAAGAATGAATACCGACTGGGGTAGCAGCTTCGTTTCAGACAGCTCGATTTGCAAGAACAGTAACACAAAAGAAGTTCTCTGGGGAATAATACGTGGTGCAAGCCATGTGGATCGCAGATGTGAGGTCGAGGAAGGTCCCCTTGGGGGTGTTGATAACAGCAGCTCAACCGAACTCGGGAAGGCAAATTTGCCAACGGATTCTTGCCAAGGACGAAGATCACTGTTGGGAAGCGCCGGTAAACGAATTTGTGGAAGGCTTCACTGCATATATCGAGGCAAGGAATCGGATTATTCTCGAAGCGAGAGAGAACAACTTGAGGACGTGAGATGACGCCTGAGTTGAGGTTGACGCGTGACGCGTGAGGTCCCTGTTAGGTGTAAGATGCCTGGAAGGGCCTGGCCAATCACAGAGCTTAGAGCTTGTCGAGGTGAAGGAACCCCAGGCATCCAATAGTTGCAATGAGCGACAGAAGCAAATAATACACCTTGAAGAAAGCCTGAAGTGTTAATTCAATCTAGATTTCATACATAGAGAATTTTCTATCAACTGGAACACGGACGGGATGTCGGGCCTGTAATTACCAAATTTCTGAACCCTCAGGTCTTAAGCCACTAAAAACGCCCCGGGCCGGGCTGCGATCTCGACGCCCACTGGCTCCCGGGAGATCTCAGATCTCTGGCACAGTTTTGATCGCCAGGAACGAATGACGTACTCGACATCGGAGTTCCTATTAGAAGCCAGCGCAAGCCATGCCATCACCATGGCAGCCAAAAAAGAAATAGGGATTCGTGTAGATGAATTTCGTTTCTATTTCCTACATCAAACAAAGGACGATTTGATCTAGAGCAAACATTCACATGCTCTTTCTCAGGGCTTGTAAACGAGTGATCCCATCAAGACTCTCACCATCTTCATTCCGGTCGACTTTCCTACCATCACCAAGAAGTCCTTTCATTTCTTTGGCTTTCACAACAATGCCTCCGAAGCAATCCAAGCGCAAAGCTTCGGCGGCGCAAAACGGAAGTTCTGCAAAAAAGGCAAAGACTGCCAACGGCAACGGCAACAGCAACGGTTCCAGCTCCGATGGCCTGCGCCAGCCTCATTACAAGGCTCAGGAGGCCGAAGAAAACAACATCGTGATCCGAAAGTTTTACCCCTCTGAGATGAGCAATGCGCGCGCCCGTGCCTACAACAGCAATGACATTCCACGACCGATCGAGACACTTATCGGCGCCCTGGAGGACACGGCGAATGAGCGACACAGAGTCGATGTCAAGGATGCCGTCGTTCACTGGTTCAAGATGGACTTGCGCATTTCAGACAACAAGGCGCTGGCGCTCGCCAGTGACAAGGCAAAGCAGGCTGGCGTCCCTCTGATTGCCATGTTTATTGTCAGTCCCCAGGACTACGAGGCGCATTTGAGGGCACCCGTCCGAGTCGATTTCATGCTGCGAACCCTTGCTGTTCTCAAAGAAGATCTGGCTAAGCTAGACATTCCTCTCTACGTGGAGACAGTCGAAAAACGAAGAAATATCCCGGACCGTATCCTCGAGCTTATGGACGAATGGGGCGCAAGTCATATGTACGCCAACATGGAATATGAGGTCGATGAGCTTCGACGTGAAGCTGCCATGATCCGGGATTTTGCAGAAAACGGCAAGGCTTTCGAGGCAGTCCACGACACTTGTGTCGTTCCTCCAGGGAAGTTACAAACTGGTGCCGGGAAGCAGTACGCCGTCTACACGCCGTGGTATCGCGCATGGGTGGCCCATATCCACGAGAACCCCGACCTCCTTGAGCTATACGATCCACCAGAGAAGAACCCAGCAAGTGCACGCAAGACCTTCAAGAAGCTCTTTGATATCGATATCCCAGATGCCCCCAAGAACAAGCAACTGGACACCGAGGAAAAGAAGCGACTGCGTTCGCTTTGGCCATGTGGAGAGCACGAGGCGAAGAAGCGTCTGGATAAGTTTTGCGAGGAGATGATTGGCAACTACCACAAGAAGCGAAACATTCCTTCGGATTTGGGAACATCATGTTTGTCGGTTCACTTGGCTTCTGGAACGATCAGTGCCAGGACATGTGTGCGGACTGCTCGCGACAGGAACAAGACTAAGAAGCTCAACGCTGGCAGTGAGGGTATTCAGACTTGGATCAGTGAAGTTGCCTGGCGAGACTTTTACAAGCATGTTCTTGTAAACTGGCCATATGTTTGGTAAGTGATTCTGTCTCCCGGGTTAACTACCCAACTAACAATGACCAGCATGAACAAGCCTTTCAAGCCCGAGTACTCCAATATTTCTTGGTCCTACGACGAAGAACAGTTTGCTGCTTGGTGTGAAGGCAGAACAGGCTTCCCGATCGTCGACGCAGCCATGCGCCAGATGAAGCATCTAGGCTACATGCATAGTCGATGCCGCATGATTGTGGCATGTTTCCTTGCCAAGGATCTCTTGATCGACTGGCGGAAAGGAGAACGCTTCTTTATGGAAAGCTTGATTGATGGCGACTTTGCGAGCAACAATGGTGGCTGGGTATGAGGACCTAAACTTGGCTCTAGTAAAAGATACTGACTGGCTTTCAAAACAGGGATTCTCGGCGAGCGTTGGAGTAGATCCTCAACCATACTTTAGGATCTTCAACCCTCTGCTCCAGAGTGAAAAGTTTGACCCCGATGGTGACTACATCCGCAAATGGGTACCCGAGCTCAAGGATTGCAACAAAAAGGAGGTTCATGACCCCTACAACCGAGGTGCTGGTCCCAAGGCTAAGAAGAACGGATACCCCAAGGCGATTGTCGAGCATAAGGGTTGCCGAGAGCGGGCGTTGGAAGCATACAAGGAGGGGATTCACGTTGGAGACATGTAATGTTTTGATTCTCAAGTGTAACTGGATAGGTACTCAATGTTAGCCTCGATGATTAACTCTGTTTAATGGACCAACCACCATTGAAATGCGCTTCTTTCTATGCCTGATATCATATCTACAGACTTGGCATCGGGTCATGATGCTATGATGTGTTGACAATGTGTTCTTTATTATAGTTCCAGCCCGGCCCTTGATGGGAACTGGGCCAGAAGATCAATATTTACAGACTACTATATTGTCTTATAGTGGTCTCTGTCGTTTAAGGCTTTAGATTCGGCTAGCTGTCTATAGCTTGTCTTGGACATTTGGTGTGCGGCTCTAGTAGGGGAACATGGCACTGGATGAACAGCTACGCAATTATTAAAAGCAACATAGGTACTTTTTATTTCATTCTAGTCAAAGCAATTTGTGGCCTTTTTGTACTACCAAATCAATCCCAGCTTTAGCATCTGGGCTGAAATCTTGTTCCTTGTCTGTCCCAGGCGCCCCTTCTTGGGGATCAAGCTCAAATCTTCCCCTGATCATGGATCCCATGTTAAGCCCTTCTTCCTATCGTGGTAGGCCATTACTACCAAATACATGCTCACTCCATCTTTGCCCAGTCCAAAAGTATGCGCACTTCTCCATTTCCCATTAAATCGTGGCCATTTTTGAGTTCCAGTCCAAAACCTTTGTTTCCATTCCAAGCCCCCTTCGTCCTGAGAATCACAACTCGTCGTCATGACCATCCAGCAGCCTCTGGATGGCTCTGGAAAGCTATCTCCGCTGCCTCAAAGACCGAACTAACTGCAGTTTATCCTCAAGGGGCTTGACACGCTTCATAGCTCCATCGTTGAAGACGACTGGGTCGAGGTAGTTTGTAGCGATACCAACAAGGTACTGGGCCATTTCCAACCGAGGCCTCCCTGGGAGGGTGTTGGCCACTCTTAAACGGGTAGCAGAAGAGAGCCTCCCAACTTCATGCTGACTGTAGAGTGTATTAAGGGCCCTCATAACCGCTGTCTTCGTCTCTTCCGTCATGGGCTCATGTCTCTGGCTCTTGAGAGTCTTTGCAGTCTCTAGAAGATCTTCAAGAGAATCAGCGATTTGCTCGTATATTCGTGAGATGCACTGCACTACCTCCCCTGGCGAAATCTCCTGGCCCCCATTCAGGAGATTCTTCAAAGGAAGTAGAGACGTGTGTCCATCTCTCCAGAAACCACCACAATCCACGCGATGTCGCACTTCAGCAACCATCAGGGCGCACTTTCTCCTTATCCAATTCTGAAGGGCTTCGGAGTTGCCGCCTCTGGCGGCCTTTGAGTCTGCAACTGCCAAGAGCCCGGATTCCGTGAGACCGATAGTGCCGCTGGGCCCAACTTCAAAGTGCGTGGGATCGAAAAGACCTGCTATTGTAGCAACACCGAGAACTTCCTCGTGGGCATGGCCCATGAGCCTGCACGTGTCGTTGGCATCGAGCCCCTCTAAGTTCAGGTGGGTTTCGGCCGCGGTCTTCATCTTTTTGGGAGTTCCAGGGTGATAAAGGTCATCAGTTGCCCTTCGCTTCAATGTGGCGTGAAGCAACTGGGAGGGTTGCGCAGAGACTGGCGGACCATGAACTTCAACTGGCACACCTGGGACAATCCGGGCCTCAAAAGAATCAGGCTTGATGTCCACTGGACTCCAGCGGGTCACATCTGCCGAATCAACTTCAGCAAGGTCGATGGGGCTGCCAAATCGCACTTGTGGCCAGTTTGAGGTGAGCGAGCGGGTTGGCGAGAGATTTTGTGGATGAGAGCCATTGTCATTCATGGATATGGCATCCTGAGACACTGGCCCAGTAACCGTAGGCCCAAGTTGGGTTTTGGTGAGGTCATGGCAGCCATATCTCTTGCAAAGGAGGCCGTCTTTGCCAGGAAGATGCGTGGTCCAGCCAGGATGCATCTTTCCTGTCGGCGTTCCGAGTTTGGTGCCAATGTGGTAAGCGACCCTACCATGGCGGCGGTCAATGTGAGAAGAAATGCCGCGCCATCCCCGGGTGATGATATCTTCGCTGATGGGAGTGGTGACGCTGGCCATGGTAGCCAAGGACGTTCTGGGGAGGGTGTAGCCGAATCGGAAGAGTATCTCTTTCTCCCAATGTTTGGGAAACGCATACACCCTGTAGCAGGACTTCTTGCCATTCTCCTCAATGGGCGCAGGCATCAAAGGCAAGCCGATTGTCCAGATCGAACCCAGGCCCATGCGGTGATGAACTTCGCTGAGAGTGCACTCCAGGGGAAGAAACGGCCCACCAAGTGCAGAACCCTCTTGCATAGCAGGGGTCAGGAATGCGAAGGGGTCTTCAAAGTCCTTCAGAGAGCCAAATTCCGCTTCCCAGCTGCCTCCATACACCTTGTAACGATCTGAAGCCCACAGGTCGCGGGTATAGACGCTCGAAATGAAGTCGAATGGGTGGATGTAGGCACCAAGTCTGAAGAGCTCATGGAATTTGAGCCAAGTCGGGAAGTAGGCCAGAAAGACGCCCATTGCCAAATCAGGGACAAGGTGGCCCTGGAACAGGCGGGTGTTCGGACGAGCGGCTTCTCTTCGAAGATTCTTGCTGCTCTTGATCCAGAAGTACACAAGAGCTGCATGAATGAGTTGGATCCTTGAGATGAAGGTGGTCGGGTTGGCATCATGAAACTCGTTTGCCGCTTGCTAGACGGAATCATGGAGAGACTTGCCTGTCAGAGCAAAGGCCGGGAAGGTGAAGAATGACTCCTGCAAAGAGTTGGGACTGTCACCATTGGAGAAATCCGCTTGTGTATCACAGGACACGACTCGACTGGAACGGGGTTGGTGAAAATTGTGCTCTCGGAATGCAACGATCGAGTCTAAGGGATGGTCGCCCTTCTCACTCCAATCAAGGCCGTGTTGTACAAGTCTTTTCAAGGCGTCCTGCTCAGACTTTTGCTCCGCCGCGCTGTCGATGCTGGTCCCGGTGATACCCTTCCGGCTAGCCCATAGAGCCACCTTCGAGTCCTTCAGCCGCTTGGCCGTGAATAGTGTGCTAAGAGGGACAAAGCGAGAGGTAGGGTCCTGAAGAGCCCAACGTGAGATCAGAATCTGTTTCGAAAAAGAACGTATCGAGGTGTCGTTAGTTGTCCACTGCTCCAGGTGTGGGTCGATGCGGGCAACACAGGGGAAACCCTCTAGGGTGAAGCCCACCAAAGGCCGATGATGTTTTTGTTCCTCTGGGAGACTTGGGAGAGCTCTGGAACATCCGCGTTGGAGGAATGGGGCGACAACCATTCTCTCGGTCTCTTGGTAGGACGGGCATTGTGCACCAATGCAAACGTCAGCGACGTTGTGCGCCGCTGGTTCCTCCATAGCTGGAGTGGCAGATGAAGAATTTGCTTTCGGATCTTGAAAGACAAATGGCCAATACCCGTCAGTTCAAAGATAATTAGGATTACTGTGGCCAAAGCGGGAAGGAAATGTAAGCTTACCAGCTGAGGCGAGCGGTCGCGGAGGAGAGAGCAAAGAGGGAGAGAGGATGGATGCGAAAGGAGGAGTGGGGGTGGCTCTTTAGTGAACTTCGAGGATCAGACTGCTAAGGTCAGTCAGTTCAAAAGCCAGCAATGGTATTGAATGGTAGCGTGCCAGCTGAGTCGAAATGAGTGCTTGAGAGAGGAGCCTCAAACACAAAGTCAAGCTGACGACATTTTGAGTCTACAAGCGCAGGCTCTGGAGACTTGCGTGTGTTGTGTAAAAGAAAGAGTTGTAGATCGAAGACGAAGGGGGAAGGTCTTCTTATAGTGGTGAATACTGAGAGTTGAAACCAAGAGAGTTGGTGGAGCGTGATTCACAGCCTCTCCAACAAACACACTCGGCGCTCGGTTCCTCAATATTCGATCAAGGCCGCCAACGTGAGAGAAAACATGGAAGTCGGTCAACATTCCCGAGCGCGCTGAACGAATGGCACGTCTAGTCAGCGGGCGATTTCGTACCTCAATGGGTGGTGATGCCGTCACCGTGGCTTCCCCCTGAATGCCAAAGAGAATGAATAGATCTATAAGCGGTGGTGGTTCCTTTTCCTCTCCGGCCGACGTTACGCTGTGCATCGAGATGGGTAATCAATCGTAATTACTGCTAGCAGCGGGCATTGGCGGGCATAGGGGGGCGCCGCTGGGTGCTTTGCTTCACACTCCAGCACCACAGCTTCCGTCCTGACCATCTGACCCGTTTGGTTAAGAGACTAGCATCTCTTCTCTTATTCTTCTCGCCGCGTTGGGAAATGTGTAATGTACTTCTGGTTTGCAGGCAGGTGCTCATAATCTCAAGTACCACTCTCCTGGTTCAACGCGAAGCATCAAAGAAGAAGAAAAGTCGATCTCTTCCGGCAATCGAGCGTCAGTGAATCATAGTCAACTCTCCCCCCGCGGGTACGTAATTCCTTCTTCCCTCCGAGTCCCTCCTCTTTCTTTCTTCTCTTCTCATCTTCACGTCTTCTTCTTTTCCCCCTTCCCAGTTGAGCCTCATCTCAACCTTGAGGCTGCTTTCCTTCTTTTCTTCTCCCAACTCAGCTCAGCTCAACTCAAGTGGTATGCTGTCATGGCACCAGCTGCTGTTCTACCCTATAAACTGACAACCTTTAGTCACTCGATCTTCAAGGTCCAAGAGTCTCTCTTCTTCCTTTCACAAAGCACATCGACTTCGGTCAGCTTCACTGGTATGCACATCTGGCCTTCAGGGCGAATATATTTCCTCTTCTCCAACTGACTGACCGACTGACACGCTGCGGCCAGGGCCGGATGTACGCCGCTGAAGACGGCGTTGGCAGCAACCCCGCTGCTCCGAACATGCAGGCCGCCGCTGGATCTGGCTCTCTGCGGCCAGGCTCGGACTCCCCACTGACAGACCTCGACATGTCTCTCTTCGATGCCGACGACTCTGATCCATCTGCCAACACTTCCGCTCGCTCTCTTGCCAGAGCTCTCAATGAATGCTCCGAAGCTCCTGACAATGGAGAGGCCGGCGATGAGGAGTCTAACAACAACGACTCTAACGACGACGATGATGGCGCTGCTGAGCTCTGGACTTGCAATGATGCAATTGAGAGGCTTCACGTCGAATTCTGGCAACACCACCCCAGCTGTGAGCCTGAGGAAGCTCCCTACAGCGGCGACAATGTTTCTACCGGATCTGATCACCCTCAGTTCCACTTGTACGCGCGGATCCATGGCCTCATTAACGAATACTACGACGAGGTTGACCGCAACGGAGAGTCGAATATGATTGGAAGAACGAAGGATCAAGTTAAGAAGTCACTCGAAGCTTTCCACGCCAGCGGATATGGCGTAAACGGAAAGTATTGGGCCAAGCTTCTCCCTGATCAAGCTGAAGTGATGCTCCCCCGCTTCATTGATCCCTGCGGCGACATGGATGGAGTCATTGCTGGCTCCCTTGCAGCCATGGGCTGTGGATGGATGCTATCCATTAACAGCAAGGGACGCAGAAACGACTCTGTCACGGTCAGAGATGACGGCAATGCTGCTGCCAGCGTCGCTTCCCAGGATCCCTCTATTACGCAGAGGGTGGAAACTCTCGAAGGAAACTTTGTGCTCTTACGCGACCAGGCAGTTGCAAAAGTGAAGAAACTTGATGAAAAACTGGAGGAATTGGACGATTTGACCAGGAACCACCAGGCCGATCTCGAGGATCTCAAGTCGGTTGTGCGCAGCATCGCAAAGAAGCGCCCCTTTGAACCCTCCGATGCTGGAAGTCCGACCGCCAACTACACCAAGTTTTTCGGCGAGAAGAAGAAGAGCCGATTTGCCTAAGGAGATGTGGCATGGATGGATCCAGGTTTGGAGTTGGAGGCGCAAGAAACGTGGAGCTTTGGAAGATACCAGTGAACTTGGGGGCTTGCTTTCATACATGGACGGCCATTGCAGGGCGTAAGGTAAAGTGGTTTGAAACGGATAAAATACCCACGAAGATGGCTAAGAAAGATCTCAGTGACGGCGATACGGGAAATAAAATATGGGAACCGAGAACTAGTAATGGATGCAGCTCTCAACAGAAATTTACCCAGGACTGAAACAAGGCTTTTGATCCATCTCTCATTGACTTCTGCATGTTTCAATTGTGTATGCCATCATGCCTACAGTCAGAGTGGTTGCAAGAAAATTGACAATGGAAGGTTACTCTTAAGATATCTAATCAGACACCACTAAGGAGGCCGCATCCGCGCCCAATAAATGCAAGCAAAACGCTGCTTCCCAAGTCGGCGGTAACGGTTCATCCCCCACCAGTGCTTCCTCTCCTTCTTCAGCCATGACTGGCTTGTTTGATCCCGGCAAAATTATCTGGGTGCTGAGGAGCTCACCAGAGTCTGAAGATGCTGACGGCAATGACAAGTTGCATGGTACCTCTGCGAGTACCCTCCTCTGGCTCTTTAAATTATAACGTGAGCTTCTTGAGAAGCTCAAAAGTCCAACATCACCCCCTGTCATTGTTGCGCGAGCTCAATGGCCTCGTCCTCGTGTTCAAGCCCCCTATCTCCGCTCTGAGTATGGCAAGCCATCGCCTTGTCTAAGCAGGGAACTTATGGTCAGTCTATGTTGTCACGCCGTCGTTGCCGCCAACCCAGGGCCCCTCATCCGCAGCGTCGTTAAGGAGTTTAGTCTACATGTTCCGAGCGACTCTTTGCAATTGAAACCAGGGACATGGCAAGTGATTAGTTTTAAATAGATGGAGGATCGTGATGCCACCAACGGGCGAGGGCCTTGCGATATCATGATGGATATGCGGGCGAATAGGGGCATAAGGGGCCTTGTTCGAGTTGGTGGTGATGGTAGCAGCAGCGGCAGGGCCAGCACCACCGTCTTCGTCGGCAGTGGCATAATGCGCCAATTCCTTTCAAATGGACTTATTATGCACTCAGTAGTTAGTTGTGAGCTCTTCAAGAGATTCTGCAGTGGTAATGATGAAGTTGCCACGGTGTTATCGGTCATCACAGCACCGGGATATGTGAGGAAATAAAGATAGAGGCTAAAAGAACTTCGGAATTGTCACTGAATGGAACATTCTTGCGCTTGTTACAAGTACATTAACTATATCAATAAGGACACTGCCAATGTCAGGTTTGCCGTCAGACACATCTTCCGCACATGCACGCGGCTAATCACTACACCCGCAGCGCCTTCGACTTGCCTCCTGGACCACTCTGGGCTTTACGTCCGTCGCCGGATTCTTGTCTCTAGATGGTCATCAATAACGCACTGCCCCTGAATGACTAGACTTACGGCTTTGTTACCTCCCTGTCTCGTTGTGAACTACATACGGATAGTACGCAGCTTCTACCGGCTGACATCACAACCCCCCTGAGTTCCTTGCGTTTCACATACCAAACGCCCTTTTAGCAAAGTTATAAATATCTGTCGGAAGGGGCTAGATCCTACAATTCCCGACAAAAATGAAGCATTTTAACGGCAGCGGATCGGGGGCAACTTGATTTTTGAATATGCATTTATCTTTACCTCCAGGCACAAGTTTATACAGACGCAGTAGAGAGTGTAGGGGATGTTTACATAAATTACTAGTAAAGCCCTCGTGAAGTCTTCATGAGTCATGGAAATAATTACTTAACATTTTGACTTGCCTTAGACTATTCTCTAGTAATTTAAGGCTATGGATATGTTAAACATAGACAAAAATTCCCATAAGAACTCTCAAAGTCTAAGCCTCTACCTAGTCACCCTAAGTGGTATGCGAAGTGGCCGAGTTGCTCGTAATTGCCAGTCGTGACCGACAACATCGTACCTGCCGAAACCAGAACTTTCCTACCTCAACAACCTGTGACCTGACCTCAACAAAAAGTCCGGCCAATTTTCATCATCTGTCACCTTTCATCATCACACACGACCAACATCACGACTGGTTTCAATCGTCATCCTGATGCGCTGAATATCTGCTCCCATGCCCCTCACCCCTAAGAGCTCATCAAGATCGTGACGGATCGGAACCGGAACTCGGCCAATTCCTGAAAGCCGCCCGCAACCGCTTCCCTGAGTGCCAATGGATTTGGCCACTTCTTCCCCTTTTCAGAAAGTCCTGCGGCAAAGGTGTTGTTTTGCTTCGGTTGCAGTGTGCGTTTGGAGAAAAGTGCTTGGTGGACAACGGGCAGAGCCCGACATTTACAGGAGAGTTTGTGACGGGGTTTGGTAAATGTAATCGAAATCCCTAGAATGAAGCCATCCTTCTAACCCAGATTACAGATTTCAACTCCCAGGGCATAGCCATACTCAGCCTCGATATCCGAAAACAGTGCCGCAGAAACCACTAAGACACGCGATGCCGACCAATTACTGGCGGCCAGGACCAATCTGTTCTTGCTCTTGCTACTATGGTGGAGCTACTGATCGCCAGAAACGTGTTCGGCATCAAAGTCAAGAGTGCCTTGGCAATCGGCATGTCGGTGGGGAGCCGAACGGGGTGCATTGATCTCATTCAAGATTGTCACGGCTTTTTACTGGGAGATATACACCAGGTTCCATGGCACCCAGCACGCCTGACCAACCTGGCTCCCCGGGTGATCCCACTTCTACAGGTAAATGTTGCCCAACTCATCTACTGTGGCCATCGACTAGGATTTGGCTTACAACCCGGATTCAGATTCCAACTATCTCGACCATCTTGTCATTTATTGCCAATCATCGAAACTGTCTTCTGTTCGATCTGCATCTGCTGGTGCACTTGTCTTTGAAGACACGTCTTCGATACTCACTTCTTGGTGAGACTTGGCCTCAAAGACATCAGTCCATACGACTCTGTTTCAGATCAAGTTTTCTCAAATCGCCGGAGTCTATCGCTCACGGGTTGTAAATGAGCTTGTTAATAGGCGTACCGCTGTCACCTTCCACTCCAACAATACGCTTCTTAGCAAGTTCATTTACAACCTGTGAGCTTGGCCCTTTGACAGATGCTCCTCCCAGCCCAGTGAATATTGCCACACACCTGAGCGAGGCGATGTCAAAGATCCCATCTGACCTTGCCTTGCCTGTCTTCCGTTCTCATCACCTCTAAAAGATCACCGTCTTCGTGGATTCTCTGGTCAACCTGGTCTCACCGAACATCCGAGACTGGCTCCAGTAGCAAATGGCAACTGCGACCGAACTCTTCGATGTATTCTGGCCACAGCCGAAGATGAAGTACACTCCAGAGCAACGACAGAAGCGAAGATCCAGACGCGAACAGATGAAAAGGTTTCCACGCTGGCCAAAAGGCACAACGTTAAAGAACGTGCGCGACTCAAGAGCATTTCCCCGGAAAAACGAGCGAGGCACAACGCTAAGCAGCGTGAACTGAAGCGGCAATGGCTCAGCAGGATGTCTCCAGAAGAGCGACGCAGGTTCAAGGTCATGAAACAAGACGGAAAGCTAAAACGACTGGAAAAGATGTCACCCGAAGAACGAGAGAAGTATAACGCGAAGCAGAGGGAATATATGCGATGGAAGCTCCAAAAGAAGCTCCAAAACATGTCTCCGGAGGAGCGAAAGAGATATAATGCCAAGCAACAAGAACAAAGACGAACCCGGTTCAAAAATATGTCCCCGGAAGAGTATGAAAAACAAAAGGCCAAGAAGCGAGAAGCCAGCCACAAGATGACGGCCGCTCGGCGAACGACGCGGAATGCTAAGGCAAGAGAGCGGCTCCAGAACCAGTCACCAGAGAGCGAGAGAAGCGCCTCGCAAAGGGACGTAAGAAAGCTGCAGAGATACGCAAGAATCAGACAGAAGAGCAACGAAAAGAACGGAGTGCGGAAGAGAGGGAGCGGCTTCACAAGCAGTCAGCAGGAGCAGGAGCAGCGCAACGCTAAGCAACGAGAGAGGGCCCGAAGCTTGACACCAGAGAAGGGGGCGTGGCGCAGAGGGAGACAGAATGGTGATAGATAGCCACGAGTTCAAGTACTGCTCTCCTAATTCAAGGTGAAGCATCAAAGACAAACCAAGATAATCTCTGATCTGCCGTCAGTGAATCACAGCCAGCCTCACCGCTCGGGTATATAAACCCCTTCTCCCTCCCGAGTTCATCTTCTTTCTTTCTTCCCTTCTCATCATCACTTCCTCTTTTTCTTCTTCTTCTTCTTCTTCTTACCCCCCGCCCCAGCTGAGCCGCATCCCAGCCTTGAGACTCTTTTTCTTGTTTCGATCTTCCAACATACCAGCTCAGCTCAATCCAACGCGGATTAGATCAACTCGGCTCATATCAACTCAGTTCACATCAACTGGTATGTTATCACGACCTCGACGCCTATTCCTCCCTCTGAGCTGACTGGCCTTAGGTACAGGATCTTGAAAGTCAAAAAAGACCTCTCTCCTTTCTTTCATTCCCCAACACAGCAGATTCCCGCTGCTTGAGTGGTATGCTCCCATTTTGGGCCCAATGGCCCAGCACTCTTTCTTTACTCTTACTGACTCGCTAAGAATAGCCCGCGCCGTCAGAACCTTTACGCTGCTTTAGAAATGGATTTCACACTGGCCGACTCCGACACCACTCTCCTCGATTTTGACGAGTTTGACACACCTGTCAGTACTCCCGCAAGAGCTCAGCCTGTGGATCTCGACTTCGGTCTTGAAGTTGCCGTCGAGACCTCCGGTAATGGGGGTTCAGGGGGCGGAGGATCCGGCAACTCCGTGTTCACCGACATGTCTGACGAAGAAAATAGCGATGACGATGACGACTCTCACGCACCTGTCCATTATTCCGCGAACTTCGTTGCCGTAGATCCCAGCGAGGATCTCGAACCGGCCATGGAGCTTGCTGTGGATGCTTCCGGCAATGGGGGTGGTGGTGGAGGATCTGGCAATGTCGTGTGTGCCGACATGTTCGATGACGATTCTGGCGATGACGACGATGGTTCTATCAACCTCTGGACTCGTGAGGATGCAATCAGAGCCCTCCAGGTGGAATTCTGGATGTACCACCCCGACCGCAAGCCTGGAGAATGCGCCCATAATTGCGAAAACATATCCGTTGGGCCCAACCATCCCCAGTACGACTTATACGTGCAGATTCTGGCCCTCATCAACCTTTACTACGACGAACTCGACCGCCAGGGGGGGTCATGCCTGGTTGACGATATAAAGCGTCAAGTCAAATTCGCATGGGACATTTTCAGGGCGAACGCTTCCCTCGGAACCAGCGATTACTGGACCGGGCTCCTCCCTAGTCGAGCTAGAATAATGCTCACCCGCTTCGTCGTTTCCTACGACGATATTGATGGATCCATCGCAGCCATGCTTGGAGAGATGGGCCACATCCGGATGCTACACCTTGACCCTTAGGTGCCCAGAAATAACGGCGAGAGGGTAGAATAAGCATGGAGTTCCGGGAGATACCAGTGGAAATTGACTTGGGCATTTGATGGTTATTGCAGGTTGCGAGGCAAGGTTGGGTTGAAAATGACAGAGTGTTTGCGAAGGCGAGAGGTTTTGGACTGGAGCCAAAAAGGGCCCATTGATGAAGCTTTCGACTAAACATTTGCTCAAAACAGAAATGAGACTTTTGGTACCTCCTTTGTTCTACCCCTTGTTCCGCGTGTTTTCGTTACTGGTATCTGTGAAGCCCTCCCAGTTCTTTTACGTCACGTTGAAGCGAAGGGCAACTAATAACATATTATCGTAGAACTCAGCAAGAGAGAGGTCGGCAAGAGTGGAAACACTGGACATCTCAGAGATGCGTGAGAAGCTCAGAAACGGAGAAGCTCGGGAGCATGAGCTTCAAACTCGCAACAAAACTCTACAACAGGAGGTAAAGAGACTCAAAGTCCAACTTGAAGCTTTCAGATCCAAGGATGAGGAAACCCGCAACATGGAGCAGGAGGGCGACTCTCTCAAGAAACAGCTGGAAGAGTTGGACAACGCAGTTGAGCCCAACTTGGAGGCCCGATTCTACAAGTGTTAGTATGAAATCGCCAACGGCCAGGTGCAGAACCAAGACGAGATGCCCAATAAGCTGAGAGCGGCTCGAAAAGACATCGACGGCCTCAACGCCCACATTGAAACACTCAACGAGGAGCATGGCGAATGAGGCTTCGAGCCTCTTGAACCCTCCCATGTCACATTGAAGCGAAAGGCAGTGGAGTGTTTGTATCACAATGGGGCTGCGGATGTCAAAAAGATGAGGCTTGCAGAGGATACGCACCTGGACTTAGAAGAACTCCGCCCTACTGAGGCATGCGAGCTCATTGGCAACGTCAACAACGAAGTTCTCCGCGTTGCTGCAAGGGCAGGTCTCCTCAACTTTCAACACTTCAACACCGGACCCAACGGCACTCTTGGCCTCGCCCAATTTGGGCTCAAGAAAGCGGCAACCTCGGAGGGTTTCAGATCCTACCTGGAAGCCGTTGAGCACGGAGAAAAGAAGAGTGCTGAGTTAACCGCCAAGGCGAGAGATCTCATGTCCAAGAGTGGTTTCTGGCTGCAAGGGCATCGACCTCTACTCCCATTGAAGGATCTTCTCAACGGCCAAGAGGCAATCCCAAGCAAACCTCGTGCAGTGCATCTAGGAGATGCGCAAGCAAACTGCGGGTTCCCTCGTGGAACTGCTGAATGCTGCTAAGATGCTCAAAGAGAGTGGCTGGACAGAAATGACAACAGAAATGATAACAAGCACCCGCAAGCCGCTTCTTGCTCTTTACAGCAAGTACGAGAACGGAAAGCTGTCTTCCTCGACCAACTTCATGCTGGCCAATGACCTACCAGGAAGACCTCGCCTGGCCATGGCCCGGGGTCTCTTCAAGATCGCCTTCAACTACTTTGACCTATTCGATCTCAGTAAGGAGATTGTGGAGAACTCGAAGCTCCCAGCTAAGTATGCGAGCCCTTCAGCAGCAGAGGAGGAATTGATTCGGTCTCTGGCAGCACACAAGGAAGTTTCCAGTGAGATCGACACGCTCTTAGCAGCTATAGACGAGGAGTATTGATCATTCGGAGATCGTAGAAATCATCACGACTTGGTATGGGTAAAGATGGGGGATGAGTGATAATATGGGCGGTGAAGACACGAGAGGTTCAGACCTAAAGCCAAAAATAGACCCAAATTAGGGATCGTTGATAGGTAGACCTGGTCTTATAATGGAATAAAAACATAGCAGCACAGAATTATCATCCATTTCATCCAGTAAGCCACGATATAGCAATGTTTTCTCCATCACCACTGCAGACTGCAGAGACCGTTCAAGCCAACTTGGAGAAATCCAACGAACCTCAGCACCCTCCATCTCAAACAGTGTGATAATCTGCATTGCCGCATAACAATTCCCTTACATCTTGCCAAACTTTACGGTCTATGCTTAATTCTTCCGCAATTGCTCCAGGCATTGTTGGAGCTCATCCTCTCCAGTGACACTCATCAAATCAACTGTTGTTAATATTGCAGCACAACCGGGAAAGTCTAGCATAGTGACGCTGGGTCCGGCAACGGGAGTAATGAGGTGATGCAGGAATAGGACACAGCATCTCATCTCTTTGATACTCCTTTCGAAAATGGAACCAGACATCCAATGTCAAGCGTGCCAAGATCTGAGTGGCTCAAATTAGCAAATGCAGTCTGGCTGAGAACTGGGAAAGCTCGCGCCTGTAATAGCCGCGACAAATACATATATGGCACATGAAGGCCAATTATCGGTGACATTGAGATAATGAACAAATTAACCGCCGTTTGGAGGGCACATCTCATGATCGACAATGCAACGTTCAAGTATTTCCTCGGAGCAAACAGCATGCTAGAGCACTCTAACATACAATCAATTTGTCAAGACCCTCCCCAAATACCGATAAAAGTCGAGTTAGGGACGAGACGGCAGGGTCCGGGGCCGCAAGCTGCTGGTACTTTTAAAACTACGTGCTATTAGCAACGTAGCTCTATTCAATGACCCAGGGGTATATAAACCTCCGGTTAAACGCTGTTCAACTACATCTGTAGCAGGGAGGCTTACTGACATCGTCCAAGTCGTAGGGAGACGTAAGCACAGCTTGTGTTGCCGAGGAACAGGGGCAGACATTCTACCCTAAAGGGAAGAGGTAAGTCAAGGAAGAGCTAAAGTGAGGCTAGGAAGCGGAAGTTCATAGTTGCGGCAACAGGAAAAGCGATGGAAGGTACGAATTGCGTGTGGTACCGGCCTACCTACCCAGGTACGCATGAGGGGGAAACGAAGAGGACAAAGGCATGGCCTAATACTCCTCGAAAGACAGTCAACAAAATCATCAAAGAGTGAGTGATATAGTAAATAAAGTACATCATTCATAAGTCTGTTATTATGTTAGGTGAAGCACAGTGTCAAAGCACTGGGCGCCACGAGTATTACATCTGCCAGTGCTTTGAGATGTGCCAATGGGGCTGACAAGCATCCATTGAACTTCTCTGCAATCAAGTGGAAACGACCGCATGGATTGATTGCAGATGTACGATCAAAAAGATCAGTCTCCGCAGCGAAGACGGTTGTCCTTAAAGTCAATACAGAACATAGCATCAAACATTGGGTCGCGCAAGCAGAGTGGCGGTTCTGGAAGCCCGAGCCAAGGCAACTCAGGCCGACATCGATCACATCAATGGACAAAATGCGAGGATTATCACAAGAAACTCAATAACGCATGTTAGACCCGTATCTGTACCATAGCAAACAACTTGAACGCCACGGCTTTTTCAGAGCCTGTTCAATCTGCGGCACGGAGGCTATCGAGGTAGCCCCAGAATCCCCGGAGTGAGGTGACCCGTGAGGTCGATCCGAGGAGACTTCGCCAGCCGGGGGGAGGAGGTTGGGTGCACGATCACCACTTTGTCACATCGTCGAGCATAGAGTCGGGATATCGTAGTGTTGTCTCAAAATCGAGCCGAACGCCTCGAATTGGATTTGCTAGATGCAGCCAACCCTAGTTTCTTTCACCCATGCCTTCTTTGCCCGAACCATAACCCTGAGGCCAATTCATGTCAGAATCCCATTCCGAGGATGCCCAGGACAAGATTGCCAAGTACCTTTTCCGAGTTTTGTTGCTTTATCGCTGAGCGCTCCAGACGTTCTTGAGGAGGCCGTCACGCTGGGCCAATCGGTTGAGGGAGTCGTCGCTCTCGCCCATCGCTCGGACGAAACCGCAGAGGGCGTAGGAGTGGTTCTCGCCCTGGACGGCACGGCCGTTCTCGTCGACCTTGGCAATAGAGATCTGGACGGAACCGTGGTCCTTGGCCTTGATGATGCGGTTGGTGGCGCTGCACTTGCGGGGGACGTAACTGGTGATGCGACATCAGTATGGGATTGTTCGCCGATGCGGCCGTCCGTGGACGGCCGTCTTGAGTTGGGATCTTACAGGTCCACGATCTCGCCACGGTCGTTCTCCATTTTTGCGGTTTGAGGAGGGGTTGTTCGGGGTGGTTTGGGTGGTTGTTTCGGCGTGGGATGAGGTCGTCGCAAACACTTAGTGAAAAAAGCTCCCGTCAATTTTTGGCGTGGTTGCCAAATTTCCCCTCGCCTCGTGGGGCATGAGCCCTTGCTGTGGGTCATGTGATGCGACACGTGATAGCGCGACCGGCTCGCGAGGCTCACCCCTGCCACCCCAGTCTGCCTTGATGGCGAACCATTTGACGATACAAGGCAGACAAGGTGGCATTTTGAGGCGATGATTCTGCCTTTCCCGCCTTTTTGCCTGACCTGAACTTGGGCACCATTTTGCTGCGCACAAAGGGCCTGAGATGCGCTTTGCGCACTCAGATTGCTGCCCTGACTGTCATGGCATCCCCTGACGCCTTTCAATCGTCGCCACTTCGAGAAACAAGACGCGAACGAGTCCAGATCGAATCCTCGTCCCCCGCCCTCCCGCCACTCCAAGATCTGCTCTCGCAGAAGCCAAGCCGTCCCCCGATCCGAAGTGGCAGCAAAGCCATCCCCATCCCAGACCATGCTCCATCAAGTTTCATCTCGGCCCGTCATCTTTTGACATCGACGGAAGCAACTCATGATGTAGTTTCTACGTCTTCGACCACAGCGAACCGAGCGTCTGCAGAGCCCAGCGGGGCAGGTTTCATTCCAAACGATACTCATGCTTCTGTGCCACCACAGGATGACGATATTGTAATTGTGCAAATCTCCGGAAAGTCATCCAGAAAGCCGCGAAAGCCAAGAGCTCCGAAGACAACTACAAAAAAGAAAGAGGAGCCAACACAAAATGCCGCGGATGCTGAATCTCAAAATGGTGGGAAGGGCAAAAAGGCCTCAAAGGCCAACAAGAAGGGGGATGAAGGCGTGGCGGCAACAAAGCCCAAGGCAACAAAGCCTAGGAAGAAACAGACGGGTACTATGAGTAACCACTTCCCACCGGTTGCTGAGCCCGATCTGCCTGCAAAATCAAAGAAGGATGGCGTCCATGAGCCTCTCCATCTTGAGCAGGCACCCGCCCGAAGACTAGATTGGACACCGCCAGCTCAAAAGACTGTCATAAACATCGATTCGGATTCATCCGCGTTCAAACAACTTGCCTCTTCGGAGACTGGCCAGCCAATGCCAGCTTTCAAGAATCTCGTTGGGGGCTATGCTTGTCTTGAAACAGCACCCCAAGTACTAACGTTTGCATCAGATGAAGACTCGAGTTTCCTGAAAAAGAGGAAACTCATCGAGCTTGTAAACACGAAAGAGACCAACCCATCAGCCGCTATTCCTGAAAAGTCACCCAAGAAAAAGGCACCGAAGAAGAAGGCTCGAACAATCACAGAGCTTGCTACGGCTGCATACAAAGTGCCTACCCAGCCAGATCCTGATCCACCAACCGCCTCCATATTAGAGCATTTTCAGGCCGCCGGCAATGCCAGCACGTCAACTACTGAACAAACAAAGAAGCCCAAGGGTAAAGCAAATCCACGCAAGAGAGTCTCGAAGGTTTCAAAGAAGAAAGCGGCGCCGCCAAAACCTGTCTTACTGTCTCCAGGCGCGGCTCTCGCCCAGGTCGCAAACCAGGATTTCGTCTTCGGTACCTCCAGCCAATTAGCGAGAGAAGAGTCGCCAACTGTCCTAAGGGACCTTCAGTCCGCTTTAATGCAGTCAAACCAAGTCGATGATATAGATTTCGCTACACCCATCAACAGCGACGCTATTGATCCGCCTGAACAACGAACCAGCCTCTGGGACGCAGCCGCTCGAGACACCGAGGGTGATCTGTTTGATGTCGAGGTGATTAATCTCACAGAAGACTCACCACACTTGCTAGAAGAGACGCATGATGCAAACCCATTTGGGTATTTCAGAGGTGACAATCGGACCAGCGCTCCGGACAGTGTGGCTGAGAATCCTACCTCTGATGATCATGTTTCCTTCGCCAACTTATCGGACCTTATGCCTTCACCTACCAGAAATCCCAGACAAGAGGATGACGAAGGATCACCATTCTTTTCCGACAGTGATCTTTCTGCTAGCATTGAAATGCAGCGGCCCGCCCCTGCGCAGACACAACCCCGTCAAGAGACCCTTGCTCCAGCAGCAAATCATCTTGACGAAGAAGCAGATGTTCGCGAACAGCCGCCTCGTCCCAATTTTGAAGGTTACACAGATGTTCAGCTTGCTAAAGAAATCAAGACCTTTGGCTTCAAGCCCATCAAAAGAAGAAGTGCCATGATTGCCCTTCTCGACCAATGTTGGCAGAGCAAGATACGTATAGGTCAGGCAGGTGTCCACACAAGCACCAAGGGAACCTCTTCAGCCCCAAAGTCGACAAAGACTGGAAGCTCTGTTTCTGTCGGAACCGATGTTAAGAAGCCCCGAGGCCGGCCACGGAAAAACAGTCCCAGTGCTTCGGAGCCCCAGGAACCACCCCCTTCCGCTCAACCGCCAGAAACTCCCAAGAGACTTCGTGGTCGACCAAGGAAGAACAGTCTCGCTTCATCAGTAGGGACGGCCTCCCCGACGAAAGCAAAAACTGCTCCAGCACCCAAGAAGCCAGCCGCAGCCCCTAAATCCCCAAAACGCAAGAAAAGAGCTGCCAATCCTGTGATTGAGATTCCTGACTCCAATTCAGACTTTGGAAGTGATCTCGATTCATCGCCAGGCTCTTCCGTGGACGAAATGTTCTCGCCGCCCCAACTGGACTTGTCCCTTTCAACTGGTGACGATACTGAGCTCTCCCTCACGGCAACTCAAAGTGACCAAGAAGTCGTCTTGTTCGAGTACATCGCCAAAGCTATCCGGTCTGCCCCTCGCGCTACTGATCCGATGGAACCCTCATGGCATGAGAAAATCCTACTTTACGATCCAATCGTCCTCGAGGACCTCGCAGCATGGCTCAATACCGGCGAGCTCAGTCGCGTGGGTTACGACGAAGAGGTCAACCCTAACGACGTCAAGAAATGGTGCGAGTCTCAAAGCATATGCTGTTTATGGCGAGTAAATCTACGTGGCAAAGAACGGAAGAGGTTTTAATCATACATTGGCGAGCGCGGCGTTTGACGGAGTCGTTTCCATCACAGCATTCCTGGACTACATCGGCGTTATCACGAGCATTGGTCTACATTTCGGCTTCGACATATTTGGAGCCTTCTATACTAGCATGACAATCAACATGCTCAATGATTCATTTTCATCTTACACACAATTACCTCCACCTATACCCCAAAGGCCCATCATCGACGTGGTCAATCCCAATACCTTGTTCAGTCCTTTCTTGGAGCTTGGTGAAACACTCGCGGGCTTGATCAAGTCTGAAGTTCATTGTTTACGTTGTTGACATTGATAGGAAATGTGAGAGTAACAACCTAGTTGACAAAAAAGCATCATTCCACCCATATACGTTCTGGTTCCTATGTGCGCCTGCGCGGGTATCACGTCCATTCTCTCGTCACCTAATGTGTCCAATTTCAGGTCTTCTTGTTCGCGGCTGCTGCTTGTGCACCACCGTCAGCAATAAGGATAGGAAGCTCGTTAGGCTCTTTCAACCACTTGTCCATGGCCGCAGAGCTTTTCATGTTAGAGTCTACAGCCACAGGAGACAGTGCTGGAACACCTACCTAGAGGCAGTGGCCGTCGGGGGCATGATTTGAGTAAGTCTTCAGTTCTCAGTCTTGATATGAGGGGTTGATGTTTGCAGAGTCCTTGCCAGAGGAAATAGGCAGGATCATCGAGGTTGTGGTGTAGATTGAGATGCTTCTTGATCTTGGTCGAAGGCGTGGATGCTGGCTACTTTATACTTCGACCATGCCTCATACCCTCCCGATCAAGCGAAATGTCCCTAGCGCGCTGCGAAACATTATCTCCTGGGATCTATCAACCACTACTCCATCGAAATCCATTCTCCAATGATATGACACCACATTTTGCAATGCGGCTCTGCTCGACGAATCACTGGTCTTGGCTGTTTGGAGCACACCACTTTCGGAGCGTTGTTGCATTCCGTCGACTATCGCGATGCAATGGAACCCCTTCCCCAGTTCATCTGGGACAGGGTAGATACGCGCCAGCAACGGCCCCAAAGACTCTCGCGCCGTCAAGCGACCAGTCTCAGACACACGTGTCGATGCTTTGTATTGCTGGACTATGGAGCAGGGGTGTCGGGGAGGAGGGCGTGTGTTGGGTTCGATGGCTCCCTTCCCGTGACCCTCACACTGGCCTGTGGTTGCCAGCCATCCTACATGGTCAGCTGAGACCTTTGATTCACGACTTCGAGCAGATCATGACAGCTCATCAATGCTGCATCCGGAGATATTTGCTGTATGGGGTCTGGGACGGAGCTGCTTGAGCAAGTGAGACCATGCTACGCGATACGGATCCTATTTGCCAGAGATGGTCTCAAATGCATGGCCTGGAGGGATGTCTATCACCTTGGGGACATTCAGTCACACTTGCTGCAATGCAGCCGGGGTCATGCCTTCGTTCATCAAGACATGTGGGCAGTACTTGTCTCGTCACATCGACCACCCTGCCCAATGGTCCGATCCCCCCCCATCCCATATGCAAGCCTTGAGGAGTCCCCGGCTTTCATGCATCTTCAGCCAACTGACGACATCCCTCACCAAGCAGAGCAATGACCGCCCAATCAACTGGTGCCATCTCAGAGACAAGGCCGCGCACATCGGTCTCCCGGTGAGCGATTGTCTTGTCACTACTTGTCGATGAGGCTCTGCTTTTTAAGAGCGATTCTACCCCCAAGGCTGGTCAAAGGCCTCATGGGCCGAATACCGTATACCCAGCCGCCGGTCGCGATACGCGCACCATACAGCTCATACTTGTCGACCCCTCACTGGCCGGGTCAAGTCGGGGTAGCTTTGCGAGCTCTTCCCTGTCGCATTGAGCTATCTTGCTGAGTGCTTGATTCAAAAGCAAGATTACAGAAGCCAAGCCTGAGGGGTATCGAATCTCGGAGCCGTGCCCTGACCGGCCAGTTTTCCCAAGCCGCATTAGCTCCGAGGGCTAAGGCGGCCTGACGGCAA